GGTGTTTGTGTCAGTCGGTGGGGGAGGGGTGGGCTGCTACCGCTATTTTACATATTTTTCTCATTAGAAATTGACGTAGAATCACAATTTCGTCTAGATGAACAACCTTTCCACATCCAGTTCTAATTAATTCCAGACGTCAATGGCAATTAGCTTGTCAATTACTACTTCACCAAAATTTTCGCCTTTTCCCTTTCTTCAATTAGCGTTCTTTTATCAGCTGCTGCCTCTCAAACTGTCAGCCTGGTGCCCTCCTAATTGCACTTGTGCTGACGCACACTGGTCGCTGGGAGCGCCAAACCAGTCACAGGGCTGTCCATCCGCTTGTCCTAGCATGCATGCGCTGATTTGATGTAGTGACTGAGGAATATATGGGGCCCACACGCCACTTATTTTTTATATAAAAATATAGTCAATATGGGTCTTATTTTTCCAATTCAAGTCGTTCCAAAACAAGCGACTCCTCCATGCACCTGCGTGCACGTGGTTCGAAAATTTGTGGATAATTAAGCTTTAAATCCTAATATCTAATTAACCATATATCTGATTTGTAATTTGTTTTCACTATAATATCTCTTATTATTTTATCTACAAAACAAGATCACACATGATTGTGTTGGGACATGTGCTAAATAGTTTTTAAATTATAAAAGTATTTTTGGGAGACACTCATGATGTATGAGCGAATATAAAAATAATTTATATGCACTACATTTGTGCATCTCAACTACAAAACAAACTTTAGATTTTTTTTAAATGGACAAAAATATTGCCGCAGTAAAACAAATAAAGAACAGATTTACACTTAGGGCTCGTTCGGTTGGGTGAAATCAAAAACCCTTCCAGCTGATTAAAACTAGTATAAATTAGGGTGTGTTTGGTTAGAGAGCATGGTAGGAATCATTCAATCCTTGATTTTGAGAATCCAGAGGTTCCATTCTCAGCGTTTGGTTGGAGGAACGGAATGGCTCTATTTGGTGTTTGATTCTGGAACCAGAACAAACTGGCACCAGCTCTGTTAAAGACTATCTTAGTGGGGCCCTCTCGTCAGTCAAACAATCCTGCTTCTTCGTCCTTCCCGCAGCGCTTTCGTCGCTCGCCGCGCCAGCGCGAGCACGTGCCGCCGCTCGCCGTGCCTGCTCGTGCCGCGGGCGAGAGAGGCGCTCGAATGAGGGAGATCCTCCGCGCGACCATGCCCACGCCGCCGTTGCCGAACATGAGAGAGAGGGGCGCGCAAGAGAGGGAGATCCGACCGCGTGAGGATGCGCCACCGCTCACCAGTGCCTGCTTCGCCCCCACGCCCAAGCATGCACCGACGCTCGGCCCGCCGCCGCCAGCTTGCGAGTATGAGAGAGATGCACCACCGCTCGCCAATACGAGAGAGAGGAGTGCGAGAGATGGAGAGAAACGGCCCTTCACGCCGTCGCGTAAGAACGGCTGCGTTCGGAAAAAAAAGAGAGCGAGCCGGTGAAGGATATTGAGGGAATATTTCCTGGTGGAACCGCTCTTTCCCTAGCGTCCAAAAACCAAACACCCTACAAATTGGGATGGAGCCGCTCCGCTCCTGTTCACTCCTCAGCCAAACGCATAGTGATGACGTAGGCAAGCGGTGGGCACTGCCTCATCGATTTTGGTCCCCAAAAATATCTGATGCAGCAGCTACACCATGCCTCCACCCGCCATGCCGCCCACACTCCATAATATTGATGACGTAGGCAAGTAGCAGCTCCGGGCTCCGGCGCGAGGAATGCTTTGGCTTCAAATGGCTTTTGTCAGCTGGTTACCGGTTTGAATTTACACAACCACTCACCAAGCAGTGTACTCCTACCTGACTTTAGTTTTTCAAGGAGCATCTGCTTTGAATCGGGTAAAGCCCGCACACTGCAGCAGCAGGCAGCAGGCGGTGGAGTGCAGAAGCATCTCTTCTCTCACCACTCACCAAGCAGCAGCATCTCTCCTCTCTCACATTTCTCTCACCTCTCTCTCCCATCGCGTCACTTACAGTGGATTTTCTCATACTTTCAAAATGCAATATCTCACGAACAAAAAGTCCGTTTGATAAATTGTTTAGGCCCCGTTTGATCCTTAAAATTGAATTCATTCTAATAATTATAATTTAAACATAGATTAATTAAAGCTAATATAGTTGTATATGGAATATATTTGTATATTTATTATTAGGCATACGAGGGACATACTTATATGTTGTATTTCTATTGTAAGGAAGTGAGTTGAAGAGTATGCTATAAGTTGGACAATAGAATTATATCATAGTGATCTATAGAATCCATTTCCATCTCCCACCCTATGAATTTAAGATAGGCTTATCTGTGAGCTTGGTAAAGTTATGGAATATCAAATTTTAAGCCAAATAGCCTAATCTATTATATAGATTTCAATTTCTCCAAAATGAAGGGATCCAGACCCTTAAAGATTATTGTTGGAAATAATGTGCCAAACAAAATGAGATCCAATAAGGCTACGTTTTTACAAAGTTTTCAAATGTGGGGCCCATGTGCCACTTTTTTATATATAAAAATATAGTCATATGGGTTTTGTTTTATAAATTTAATTGCAAGGGATATTATAGTACACACAGATCACAAAAATGATAAACTGTTTAGAAGATATGGCCATTCAAAGTTTCATAAATTACAAATGTTGAAGCGGTGTAGCTCCCTATGGCTGCAGGTGCAGATGATGTCAACCAGACGGAGGTCTAGACTTGCCAAGGCGGAACAGGACTTATAGATGGGCAACGGGCCGGCCCGGGCCGGCACGCCGTGCCCTGTGGGCCGTGCCTCTCAGGCACGCAGGCCTGGCCTTCGGCCTAGGCACGGTACTATGGGTCACTTTTCGTGTCGGGCCAGCCCGATGAGCATAGCCTTTTTAGCAGGACGGGCCAGCCCGAGGCCCACCAAATGCCCGAGAGAGGGGGGAGGGGCGCAGCATGCATGGGAGGTGGCGGCGTCGCCCACTGCTTCGCTCTGGCTCACCCCAAGGCGCTCGGTGACAGATCCGCGGCGACAGACAGCGAGCTCAAGGATGCCGCACTCGCGGGAGATCTGGCCGCAGGGAGCGGAATGGAGCATTGAGGAGGTGGAGGTCAACGCCGCCGTAGAGGAGGCCAGGCGCGCGGGGGGCGTGGAGCCGAGAGGGGCGCCGTCACCTTCCACGGCGAGGCAGACTGAGGAGGAGGAGCCGCCGCTGCCGCTCGGCCGCCAAGGCTTGAGGGAGAGGGAGGCTCGAGGGAGGAGGGGAGCCTCCATCGTGATGCTCAGCCCGGGAGAGAGAGAGGGGGAATCGAGGGAGGAGGAGGCGGCGCGTGGTGCTCATGACTGTGGGAGGCGCTGTGATGGGAGGCAGGCGAGCGTTGCTATGAGTCTTGGTGCACGCCGCCGGGGAGTGGGGAGGGGGGGTGGGGGAAGTTAGGGTTAGGAATAGTATTGGGCTGGGAAGTAGGGATTCTTAACAGGCCAGGCACCGGGCCGCCACCGGGCCTCCCTAAATTATGGTCGGCTGCGTACCCCACGTGCTGAGGGTAAGACCTGTGCATGGCTCATTCTCTGGTTGCATACCCGGGGCCTGGCCACCGGACTGGGACCGTGCCGTGCTTGGGCCGGGCCAAAAAAGCAGGCCTCGTGCCGGGCTGACGGGCTAGGGCTGCATGCCCATATATAACAGGACTACACGTCAGCACATCCATGAAAATCGAAACAAGAGTTAACAAGGAGCCGAAGTAGCACATCCATGAAATATCACTAAACTAATAGACCCAAACTATGTGCTAATCAAAGATTGTCGTAAAGAACGGCCATGTTCGCTTCTCTGGTAATCCATATTTTTCAGCTTATTTTTTCAGCCGAAACAATGTTTGGGCTTATTTTTTCAGCGAAGCGAACGAGTCCATATGATGGGTGCTAAAAACCATGGGTGCTTTGCTTGAGTGCTTGTAACCTGGAGGCCCTGGACCACATGCTTGTGTGCGGGATGGGTTTATCCAGTACCATGCATTTGTCCGACGTCCCAGAATTATGGAAAACCAAAAAAGCAAAGAGAAAAAAACGAAGGTACTATGGATTGCGTGGCCCTGCTAAATGTATGGACTAAAAACAAAAACGGATCGCTAATTACATAAATAGTTTAGAAGATATCATGGTTTCAAACTTGAAACCAAACAAAAAGACACATTATGCCCAGTGGACGCATGCAAGGTGTGTGTCAGCCGGTGGGGAGGGGCTGTACCTTCTTTTGTTCGCTGGCTGAAACGGATGGGGTAAGTCTGCAGCGCCCTGGTGGCTGTGCGGCCCATGCCTGGCCTAATCTGGGTGATGTCAGCTACCACCCGTGGTGTTAGAATACCCCCGTTTGTAGTAGAATATTTCATATATATATATATATATAACCCGAACAAAAGGATTACATACTAGATTTGAGAAGTCTCAATATGGTTAGCGGTGCATGCTCTCTCATGCAAACATCAGCGGCCAACTTAATTAGTTTGCTGCAGGTCCGCAGCCCGCCGGAGCCGGATGAAGGGCATACAAAAAGTCTCTAGTAGAACTGGATGTTGGAGTAGTAGAGGGTGTCGGGCTTCCAGTACGCCGGGATGACGTCTTTGGCGATGAGCTTCTTGCCGGACTCGCTGGTGAGGCGGATGGAGAAGGGGCCCTTGAGCGGCTTGGGTGTGTCAAACCTCCAGATGGCGCCCCAGGAGAGCTTCATCGGCTTAAACAACCCCGGCGCCGACTTGTCCTCGAGTTCCATCAGCACGATGTTGCCGTCGTCCGCCACGTTCTTGACCAGCACGGCCAGGTAGTTGGGGTTGCTCCCCTTCTCAACGTGGAACAGGATCTTCGCCCCAGGTAACTTGCACCGCACCCTGCAGGACGACGGCCGGCGTGTAAGTTTTGCGCTGCTTGTTGCGTGTGCATGGCATATTGGACATGGACATGGAGAAGAAGCTAGTTTTTCTGAGATCGTCGTCCAGCAATATATACCTCCTGAACTCCACGTCCATGATGCCGCAGTGGCGGAGCTTGTCGTTGAGGCCGGGCTTTGCCAGGGAGCCGAAGGCCTTGCCGCTGAAGTCGAAGTGGTAGGGAGCGATGGGCTCGTAGTTCATGTCGGTGATGAACACCGTGATCGGCTGGCCCGAGCACTCGGGTTTTTCCTTGCATCTCACCTGCATGCATGCAATGCATGTCCAACAAGTAATAAAGCAGTTAGCTGCTGTCCATGCATTCGATCATCAAGCCAAACCAAGGCATGCATGCTATTGCTTCGTCGTCAAGCAGAGCGAGATGCTGACCTCGTAGCATGAGCCGCAGCCCTTGCCGTCCTTGAAGATGGGGATGTTACCGCAGGCCGTGAAGCCGTTGTAGGGTGGCAGGTTCACGTTCTTGATCCCGCACGCACCGCCTGCATCATATCACACATGCATGCTTGTGCATGATCGATCGATCGGCTGACCGCCGGCCGAATTGAATTCCCAATCTCAAGGCAACAATAACCTACGACTACGACTTACCGTTGTCGTCGGGGCCGGCGCCGTTGGGCTGGCTGTACCAGGTGGCCCTGGCGGTCAGCCACTGGCCGTTGTAGTTGGTTGTGATGTTAGGGCCCGGCGGAAACTTCGGGGGCGCACGAGCCGCCGGCGACAAGCGCCGCAAGGACGGCCGCCACGGCCACGATGTTATTGGCGAGGGATTCCATCGTCGTGTGTTATTCGAATGTCTCTCTCTGTGTGTGATTGATAGACGACGGTGCGGGGGTGGCTACTTATAGGGAGGACGCGTGGATCAGCAGCGCCGGCGACGCAGCAGGGGGTCAGCGCTGCGCGCGGGTGGCCGTTAGCGTTGGACGGACGACGCGCGAGCGCCGCGCGGGTTTCACGTACGTAGGCCGGTGCGTGCGTGGTCAGTGTGGTCTGGGGCAGACTGGTGGAGCGGCCGGCGATGCGCTGTTCGCGCTCCCGAAGGCTTCGCTGTTGTTGGTTCGAATTGAAGGGCATGCATGACGATGGACACATGATGCGATGTGATCAGTGCTGAGACTGAGAGTATTTCATGCGGCGTGTGTTTTTTGTTTTTTTTAGATTAAGGAACCACGTATGAATGAGTACAGCCGTATCTGTGTTTTTTTGGTTTCTATCTTGTACATGTCACTATGATCGCCAGCAAATCCCTGCTGCTGTAACTACTCTACTCCATATACAACAGTATATGGCTACATTGTCATGCATGTATGCTCTTCCATACTCTTGCAAATCAGATGGTCGATAGTCTCTCTCGTCCATCTCATCCGACGTCGTTCGTGCTCCATAATCATTTAAAAAGGAAAAGGAAAAAAAAGGAGAAAGGAACTAGCCAGTTTTTCAATAAGAAAAAAAAACATCCAAATCCGTAAAAAAGAAGTCGAATACGAGTGGTTAAGTGCACGATCATACCTCTTACCAATTGAGTTAAGCTCACTTCCTGCTATATGACCCATCGTCATTTCATAATTAGCTAACCATAGCCACTGGCTCGGACGGCTATCATGCCACCCATTTGTATAAGATAATGTTATCGATATATATTCACTACGTGAAAAACAGTTTGTAGCAACGGGGCTTTTTTTTAGGGGCAGCTGGCATTGGAGCCGCCCCTACAGTGACGTACTCGGGCTCCAGCACAGCAGCCGCCCCTACAAATAGCACAGTAGGAGCGGCTGGTAATACGAGCCGCCCCTATAAATGAGTCGATTTGCAGGGCGGCTGGTGCCAGCCGCCCCTGCTGTGTCCATTTGTAGGGGCGGCTGAATCACCAGTTGCCCCTACAAATTCCTGCGGTATATATAGCAGCCACCTCCGGCCCGAGAAAAAATCCAACCCTAACTCCCTCTCGCGCATCCACATCCTCTCTCGGCGGCGGCTCCCTCTCTCTCTTGTCTCCGCTCTCCTCACTCCCTCTTCTCTTAGCGGCTCCATCGTCCTCCCGTCGTCCCTCCCCTCCGCTGACGCGACGCCCACCTTGGCCCGCGCTGGTTTCTGTTCGCGCAGTGACTGACCACGCGGCCGTCGGGCGCGAGATGAGACGAGACCACCACGCGCTCGTGGCTCCTGGCTCTACTCCTAGATCCGCTCCGCACGGGTGAGTCCAGGAAGTCTCTTCTCTTCCCCTCCCTCTCTCTCCCCATCTCCCCCGACGCGGGTAGACCTCCGCGGTGGCCATCTTGGCGTAGCCGGGGTTGATCCATTAGATCCGCGGTGGATCCGGCTTGCGGGGGATGGTGAGCTCCTCATCCCTTCTCTCCTTCCTCTCTTCTATGTTCGCCCTCGTTCACTCATTCTCCTAGGTTTGGGACACCAGCGGAGGCGACGGATCTCCTACGGGCTTGAGCGCGTGGGTCTCCGAGGACCGCTGCTCGGCGTCCCTATCCGGCAGGTGTCCTTGCAAGCTGGTCCGGACGATGACGGTCCCATCTCGCCAGTATCCCACTCCTCCATTCCCTTCCCTTCCGTTCTCGATATATGGTCGCCGGTGTTGGCACGCTAATATCTCCGCCGATTTGTTTGTTTTTACATGTAGCGAGAGAGGGAGGAGAGTGTATATCGTGTACTCTGATGACGTATCTAGCCCAGATTGCTGGCCGCAGGTTGTGCGTGTACACATGCCTAGCAAAATGGTAGTGAGTATTGTTTCAATCTATCAGATTAATTTCTAATGAATTTACTTGTCTTTTTATGTTTGATTCTGTTCAGACATTCTGACATTGGGGTAAGAACAAAGCTTCTGGCTCAAATGTACTCGGTATAAAATACTCTTTCCTCATTTCATTGTGTATGCTCTGAATGGTGACTCTTTATTTCTCGATCTCGCTAGTCCAGATCTCTAATCTCTGGATGTCAATCAAACAATGAAAATATTTCGATTGGGTTGCGATCTATTAATCTGAGATACAAAGTATTTTTCCTTTAGAAAAAGGTAATGAAACTGTCATTTATGCTTACAAATTACAAACTTTTATTGTATTCATCACACATTCATGCTTCTCCTCGCTTAAACCATTTATGAGATATGTTTTATTGTTTAGTATCGCCACACATTGTATCTCAGATATATCTGAATGCCTTAAAGATCTTGTGCACATGGCCACTTACTCTATCACTTACATTTCTGTCCTAGCCGAAAAAGACAAGTGCTCATTGCTTAAGGCCAAGTGTGTTGATTTCATTGCCAGGTCGCCTGAAACTCTTGATGCGGTCCTGGCGACCGAGAGCTACAATCCTCTGGTGGCGAGCTATCCCTTGGTATTGACTGAACTTCTGAGGGCTGCGCATGGAAGGAGGAACTGAGGAGGATCGACGATTCTAGCTTTGGCATATTGTGGGGGTATTAACCCCTATACCCTTACGGCTAGGTTTGGGCCGGTCCGAACCAAGGTGTCTGACCCACCAGAAGACGACGCGCGGCCCAGCCGATCTGCTCAGAGTCCCGCGCAAGGAATCAAGGTAGACTTGGAGATCAAGCAAGATCCTAGTCGGTTAGAATAGGAATTCTTATCCGGCCACCTTTGGCAATTGTAACCGGTTAGGATTAGTTTCCAGATCTGTAACCCTGCCCCTCAGACTATATAAGGCGGGCAGGGGACCCCTCTCAAAAACAATCTCATTGACATACAACAATACAATCAGACGCAGGACGTAGGTATTACGCCCTCACGGTGGCCGAACCTGGATAAAACCTCGTGGTCTGCCTCTTGCGTCACCATCTCGTTCAGTAGCTTGCGCACCTGTCTCGCTGATAATCTACTACCTTGGGCATACCCCTAGGTAGATCTGCTGACCATATTTCATCGACAAGTAATGGCGCGCTGGTAGGGGTGTGCGATGCTCCCCAGCACGAACAAGATGGTCATCATCCTCGGCTCCATGGCTACACCGAACGGCCTCATGTTCACCATCGGCCGATCACACTGGACCACTGGCTCGACAACTTCATCGCCATGACCACGGGAGGCGAGATCCAATCTGCGTCGACCACTGCTTCACCAAAGATTGGCTACGGCTCCGACCACATTGGATCTGGCTTCGCCACGCCAAAGATCGTCTTCACCACGCCGACAACCCGTCGTTTGCTCCCTCGCTACAAAGGGAGGTAGATCGACAACACCGACCTGCTTTCGACTCAATCGATCAAGGTCAGCACCAAGCTTGCTGAAACCCTAGCTCGTAGATTCGATTCAAAATCAACCTACCGAAAGCGGTAACCACTACCCACAACAGATCTACCCGACCAGCTCGGGCCAGTCGTCTGCATGACTCGGTACGGATCTCGTGGTCACGTCTACTCCTAAAGGGCGCTCCGTTCGTCGCCGACCAACCCCCGCAACGGGTCTCCGCTCTCTGAGTGCGAAGCCTTGATGGAGAATTACCAGGCTCAGCCCTACGACTGTAAACACTGCTACCAACTACGCTGTACAATATACAACGCTGCTCGAATCTGTGTTTTATACATCGACCTCGGCCAAAGCCACGCAACTTCGTCAACATGGTTTGCATTGAGGAGTATCAAGAAGTAACGGTGCATTAAGGCGGCATCCACATGGAGCTACGACACCAGATTTGAATGATGGCTTGCCATTACATGCATGATGAAGATCACGTCAAGCAACCATGCAAGAAGACGGAGTACAAGCAAGTGGGCCAACTATGGGTGTTCGTGTTATGTATGTATTCATACACAATGTACAGCGACAACCTGGAAGGACTTCGTGTGCTTCTCTGACTCCAAATATGATGACCACATACAATCTACTAAACCGCCATCAGGCTACTCCGTAACCTTCATGCAAGCAAGGAAGATCTCCGACTGCGCCCGACCTCGGCTGGACATGTCCAAGGGCTTTTGCCTCCCCATGCGATGGAGCTAGGTACATGCCCTCCGACCACCGAATTGATCGAGCAGCCACGTCGACCACAGACCACGTCGACCACGTCCCGAGCGGCTCCGCCGAGCTCCGACCATGTCGACCACGGACCACGTCGACCATGTGTCGAGCGGCTCCGCCGAGCTCCGACCACATCGACCACGGACCACGTCGACCACGTCTCGAGCGGCTCCACCGAGCTCCGACCACCTCGACCACTAGACCACGTCGCAATGATGATTGCCACGAAGAACGGCGCTATGACAACCGTGACCACCGTCACAACAGGCCAAAAAGCACGAGGACCGGACAACTTTATCGCCATCGACCAGATTTCTATCCAAAGATAAGTACATTTTTAATATTTATATTTAATATAATTTTCATTATGATGTTTCTCCACAACGTCCTTGTCATGATTATTCTTCAAATTACATTTGTCCATGTATACCATCTTAAATATAACATACAGCTATACTTAATGCAAATCCTCGACCAGTCATGTTGAC